TGTCCTTATTGCAGAAGTGAAATCAAGAAGGATAAAGTGTATTATTTGCCACAACAAACTATATACAACAATGTTCAGCACTATTTTACTATAACAGATACAGATTATCAAGACATTCATAATGTTGATACTGGATGCAATACAAATGCCAAACTATTTGATGAGTGTGATGACCTCAAAAAACAAAAAAGAAAGAACAGAACAAGAAAGTATGGTTCTGAATCTACATGGAGTTCAATTTGGAAATCACTAACACCAAGACCAAATATAGATAAGTTACATCAAAAAGCTAAAAGTGCATATCAAAATAATGAGTTGGAAAAGGCTTTGAACATTTATTCACAAATACTACAAGCTGATCCCACAAATTATGTGGTGCTGTGTAATAGAACAAAGATCAAGTTGGATATGAAAAATTTTAGGAAAGCCTTGTTTGATATTGAGACAGCAATTGAAGTAAACAAGGTTTATAGTGATGCTTGGTATTTAAGTTTAGTGGCACATGTAGGTTTGGAGAATAAGAAAGGAGTTGAACAAGATATTGGACATATTAGTAATCCAGATTGGCAAGATAAGACATTTGATGTTATTAATGAACATGTAAACAAACTTGAGCACTTTGATGTGCAATGGTTTAAACTCCTTGTGGATAGTTGTTTATACAGAGCAATGTATATGTTAGATAATACCAATCAATGGCAATCACTGTGTAACAATCAGTATGGAACAGATGATTACACCAGATGGTACAATACTGCAGTAACTTGGCATAACGAGTATAACAATGCTCCACGTAATTACAAGTATACAAAGGCGTTCTATGAAAAAGTTTACTATATGCACAAAAGTGAGGGTTACACTTGATTGCATAAATTTATATATTATTATGCATACTAAATTACTTTATATTTATTATTATTATAGATCATCTGAAAGCACATTTTGCATATGAAAGTCACATTGAAGATAGAAGTAGATGCGTGGAGTAAGTAATTTATAATAATCTGATATTGTTATAAAAATATTGTTACTAAAGTTTATTATTTAATAGTTTTTGGGATTGTTTGCGCCTTATTGGATCCAATAAAGTAAGTGGTTAATTATCAATACAATATAAATAGTCTAATGCTTTGTACAACGTTGTGAATATTAATTAATAAACGATTGTATATTAGGTAACAATACCCATATTCCAAGTACCTCCAAATAAATACAAACTCAGCATTTTGTTGTTGAATTATAACAAGTCGACAATTACAATTATGGTAAGTATTGAAATATGTATTGTTTAATCTTAATTGTATAATGAGTATAAACATTTGGTTTTACAGACAACAATAAAAACATCAACTGAAGAAATACAATATAAGACGGACATTGAATATGACTATGCTGAATACATTTTACCATGCGCGGTTAACGTTTTGTCTGAAGATGACATTGTTATAGACTTTGTTATCAGTGGCATCAGTGATTATGTAAGTATGGTTTATTTATTCATGACCTAGTGTAAAATATATTCAATTATTCTAACTTTAACTCTATTTAGTATAATTTAATTCTTTATTGGGTTTGTTTACATTCGGAAGAAAAGTTAGATACTGTGGAACATAACTTGAAAATTGAAACATTTCCAAATGGTGTAAAAAATATTGATTATAAGCAATTCCTTTGTCCTACTAGTAGATATGCCATAAACACATTGAACGTAATCTATTTATGTTAGATTGTATGTTATTATCTTTACTATTACTATCACACACGCATGTAACATATTATTAAATTATAAATTATATCTCCTTGCTGAACACTATCAAGTCACTATGAGGAACAAAATTCTAAATTTGAATTGCTTCCAGTATCAGCATTATGAATGTCTTGATAATCTGTACCTGCTATAGTAAAATAATGTTGAACATTGTTATATATTGTCTGTTGTGGCATGTAATACACTTTATCCTTTCTAATTTCACTTCTGCAGTAAGGGCACTCCAAGTTGCTTAATGATAAAAGAGCCTTTGAGCTAATAATATGTTGACAGTTAAGCTGATAAAAGTCACCAACTGCTTCACAAACAATAGCACATGTTAGATCTTCTGCAATAAAGTCAATTGGATTTTTCTCAACACCTTTTCCCTTGTCTTGAGCACTTGCCATTATTTTGTCAGGTGAGTACTCTGAAATCATTTTTGATTCAACTTCTAACTTTTTTTTCAAGTAATAGTATATGCTGATCAATCTTGGTATATATTTTTCATCACAGTCAGCAATATCATCAGGTGTTGTAACAAACAATTGATTATTTTTGGCTTCAAGACTTAATAACACCTCAATAGATTTGAATTGAACAAATTCTGTGTTTGCATTATTTAATGAGTTTAGTGCCATATAATAACAAATAGCTTGTGTGGTTGTAGAAAATGTTTTGTGGACAAGTTGCTGAGTAATATCCAAAATGCCAAACCAGAGTTCATCACTAACATCCTGATTCTCTGCTGCATTTTCAGCATAGCATAAACTGATATGATACCAGAGATACTCAAGAAGCACTCTTTCCTTAAAACTCATTGAAATGTTGGACTCTTTTTGTTGATACCATTCATCAAGACTATCTTGTAATATTATAAGCTGTTTCCAGGTTGTATACCAAGGCTTACCTGATGGTTCAACATGAAAGGCTTCTTTAAAATACTTCCAGGATCTCTCTATGTCAAAATCACCAAGAGGAACTTCAACTCCTGTAAGTAATTTAATTCCAACTTTAGCTAATCCAGGAACAGCAACAAGTAAACCTTTTAATACTGTAATGGCTCGACCAACATTTGTCTGATACTGGTTTTTCTCACTACAAGCAGTATTTAACATATTTTTAATGAGTTTAAGAAGGTATTTACTATTGTAATTGCATTTAAAGCTTTTGATAGCTTTGTCCGATTCATTAGATCCTTCTACCCCATGCTGCATAATCAGTGAATGTGCATTCTTGTATGTAGAAATTGCCTGCCTAATATTATCAAGAAAGGAACCTGGGAATTGGCACTCATTCTGACACATTCGCTCCAGTATTATTATAATAATTCGTAATCGCCATTCCAACTTAATAGTTGATTCTCTTGAAAACACATTATCAAACTTTTGAGAACATAGACTCTCCAAAGCAGTATCTAACATATCCACTGACACAGAATCTCCTTTATGTTCGAGAATGTATTTAAGTGCATAAATATTCCGAGAATATTTCAAGTCTGTCAACAATTCTTTTATTTGGTCATCTGCTGACATAAGCCCTTGTTCCATTAATTGAAGTATAACTTTAGGAAAACTGCCTTGATTTACAGTGTTACTTGGTGTTGAAGTTAAAGATATCGTAGAGGAAACACCGGGAGCACTCGCTGTGGAGAAGGCGTCTGCTGCATAGTTGGTTGTTGAGCCAGAATTCATCGAGTCGGCCGTAAAGGGAATTGAGCTTTCGGGTTTCTACAAAGTAACATAATAATAATTAATAGATGAGCATGCGGAGTATCTTCGCATATGCGCTTGTTTTCCTATACCTCATAGGCCATTATGCAAAGCAGTCACTTTAACGCTTGATGATATCTTCTATTGTTTATAATTTGCTGTGCATGCATGTCATTGCATGGTGTAACATCATGTTTATGCCATTTTGCGATAGTATAATATTCAATAGTATTGTTATTGCTTTTGTTTATTATTATTACTCAATTACTATTACTCAATTGTCGATGAATCATACTAATCACGAACACTTTTTTCAAATCAGGTGGCGAATATATATTCTTAACTACCAAAAGTGTACTGTAAACACGATCCATGATTTGATTTTTTCAAGTGTCGCTGGTACCTAATAATCAATATTAAAGTCGATATTTAAATTTTTACGGTCGTATACAACAATCGTAAATTGCCGATGTACCCCTTAATTAAAACAACAACACATTATAATTAGCTTTATGTAAGTTCGCTTATTGAGACATGGATCACTGTCTCTTGCACCAGTGTACAGTAATTCGAAATTTTCAATTCACGTGATCAAATGGGGTTACTCGAAAGTCATACGTAATCGAAAATTCGTAAGAATAAGCGTCCTCGATCAATCTTGACAACTCGACACCTCCAGAAACGTCGACCCCAACATTCAAGCCGCATTCTCCTCTGTCAGAACAAGTTAACAATGTCGGTATGTATATTTTTGTTTTAGCGAATGAAAAGCTTTTTTTAACCTCAAAGTTACAAACTTTGAAAAAAAAAGGGATTCAATATTGAATACCAAATTGCTTTTACTCGGCTAGATAAGCGAATACAATGGAGGAGCAGTCGTTGCAATGAGTGGCAAGAATTGTGTGGCCATAGCATCCGATAAACGTTTCGGTGTCAAATATTTGACAATATCGATGGAATTTCCAAAAATGTTTCAAGCCACAGATAAGACGTTCATCGGTATTTCAGGGTTGGCTACTGATGTGCAGACATTGTAAGAGTTGTGATTACGAACAAATTTCAAAGAATGTGGATGGGGAGGAGGGAGAAACTGTGGGGGGAAAAGAAAACGTCGACGATGTGCAATACTCACGTAGGTTTATGATATTGTCAGAATGGAGAGATTTCGATTCAAAATCAACATGTACAGAATGAACGAAGAGCGTGACTTTGAGCCGATTACTTTGGCCAATATGGTTTCATCTACTTTATACGAACGAAGGTATGTATACATGTATATATCGTACGAATATCAATGACGGGAACATTCTCACGTTTCGTCTCGTCTTTTCTGATTCAATACTACTACTGACCGACTAAATGGATTCTTGTTTATAGGTTTTCTCCCTATTTTGTGGAGCCGATAGTTGCTGGGCTGGACAAGAACAATAATCCATACATTAATGGAATGGATTTGATAGGATGTTCCACCACAGCTTGCGATTTTGCTGCTACAGGCACACCAGAAGATCAGTTGTATGGTACATGTGAGGCATTGTGGGAACCCAATCTGGTATGTTTTTTAATGACCGCAAACATTGTAGTTGTCGAACAGTGTACTTGGGGTCTGTAATTGACGCATACTGTCAAATGTAGGAACCAGAAGAGTTGTTTGAGACTATTTCTCAGACGATAATGTCTGCCACGAACAGAGACTGTGTGTCTGGTTGGGGTGCTGTCGTTCATGTTATGTGAGTAGATTAGTTAGTGTTTGTTTCGGTTACGAACATTTTTTGAACTGGCGGTGGTTACTTATATATTCCGATATCAATGCAGAACACCCGAGAGAGTGATCACACGTACGCTGAAGACCCGTATGGTAAGTATTTATTGTGATGCAACCAGATTGTAGAAAATATCCGGTTAATGGATAGCTGACTATATTTGTTTGAACAGGATTAATGGGGTTATTGTTAGTTCGCCGAATTAACGTCATGAGAATTGGAACACAGGTGAATAGAGCCCGCTCCTAATAAAAAGAGTTTTGTTTTTTTATTGAAACGCAACACCGGCTGGGGTTTGGAATGACAGTAAATGCTGAGCGAAAATAACGGACAGTTCAGTCTTTGGCAGACGTCTCCTTGGGAATACAATGACAGTCGCGGCAACGCCATCGCCGGTCTATAGAAAGATTACGTCACGTCATAAAGAACAGCATGCATTATTTCGCGAATGTGCTATCAAATTCCGCTTGTATTGCCATTTCCGACCATCTTTATTAGAATCAAATTCACATGCATGAAAGATGTCATGACGAAGAGTCTCCTAAATATTAATTGCTTAAATGATAATCAATACGATGTAAATGGTATCATCACACTATAGTATGTTGACCAGAACCGTGAATAAGACATGGTAAAGATAGTCTTGATTAATTGATGCGGCGATTTTTCCTACACGGAAAGTTATCCACGTCTATCGTGTTATTTCTATTAGATCGCTTAAATTCATGCATGCGTATAGTCACTCGATTTTTAAAACTACGAAATTAACCCCTGTGCGTGGCTGTGGGGAAACCCCCCCGCGATTGTGCAAGTGGCCGCGCTATGAACTGGATTGTTCATGAGTCAATCCTAGCCATCTATGCGGCGGGTAAACTTGTATCGCATTATAAACTTTTGCATTTGCATTCTATATTGAGGGAGCTTTTGGAAAACCAGTTGTCGAATACTCAGAATTTAGAATGTGATATTGGTACAGCACGTTACATTTTTTACGCTAACTTTGCTATCATAAATGCCTCTCCAAAATGAAGGTGACCGTTACCTTGTATTGTGAATAATCGAGCAATTAATTCTGAGATATTAGTCTATACGCTCCTTTGTATTATTTCTTATGAGATATTTAATCATCTGGATCGACACGGGAGTGGTAGGACAGCCCAGTTATGTCGGAAGACTATATAGAAAACCTTGTAAAGAATGCACGAAAGGCTGCCAATGTATTGCAACACATGAAACCAGAAGACAAGACTATATGTCTGCCAATACTAAGAGATAAACTTCAATCCGACAAAAGCAATATATTGCTTGCCAACAGACAAGACAAAGAGGTCAGACTTGATAATTGCAAGATGTAATTATTTGTCAAAACAATTTCTTATGCTATACCTACCTATGGTTATCCAACAATTCCCAGAATGCAGAAAAGTTAGTCCAGTCTGGAAACCTATCACCATCTCTTTTTAAAAGACTCGATCTTGAAGATGGCGATAAATTCGATTCGATGCTCCAAGGAATTACCGACATTGATAACTTGCCCGATCCAACCGGAAAAATAACGTATGCGTGTAGACTGGACGAAGGATTAGAATTATACAGAGTCACATGTCCTGTTGGAGTGTTGCTAGTAATCTTTGAAGCAAGACCGGAAGTGGCTGTCAACATTACCGCATTAGCGTTAAAGTCTGGTAATAAAATGATGGAGATCCTCCACCACGTTTTTGTCTGCAAGTGTTAAGCTATGGAGCTTTATACGTTGCTTAATAGCAGAGTAGTGCACGAAACTCCCGCTGTATGAAAGAACGTTGGATTTAATATATATGCTAACTCTGTTAATTCTATATAGGAAACGCTGCGATCCTTAAAGGCGGTACAGAATGTCGTCTGTCGTTGGCGGCCTTGTATTCATCCATTCGTTCCGCTCTTGCCGAGACCAACATTCCACCGACTGCAATCCAGCTTGTCGAAACTAGAGAAGAGATTAGCGCATTACTCAGCAAAGACAAGTACATTGATCTGGTGATTCCACGAGGGAGCAATAGTCTAGTCAAACATATTCAAGGCAACACAAGGTAAAGTATACGTTTCTTTCTTGTGCATGCATGGGAAAGGTCAATCTTTTATATTCTCCCGCTCATGCCAAAGGATCAATAAATAATACGTGAAATTGACTAACAAGCGTAAATGTCTTTGCGCGCACACAGGATACCTGTTCTCGGACATGCTGACGGATTATGCTCTGTTTACGTTGACAAGGACGCTGATCTTCAGAAAGCCGTTCGTGTTGTAGTCGATTCAAAGGTATTATATCCGAACATAGAGAAACAGCATTGTCATAACGACTTGTCAGCTATTGTGTCATTCATTACACACCGCCTCATAATTTTTACTTTTTCCCCCTCACCTTATTCTCTCAGATCAATTATCCGGCGGCATGTAATGCAGCAGAGACTCTTTTGATCAATCGCTCCATTCTATCGACACACTTTTCAACAATTGCCAATGCACTCGCACAAGCCAAAGTCAAGCTTCATTGTGACGCCGAAGCGCTATCCTCTCTCTCGGATCAGGAAAACCCCTTTTTCAAGCCATGTGAGGAGACGGATTTCGATACCGAATTCTTGGATTTGAGAATTGCTGTAAAGACTGTCGGCAGCGTAGAAGAGGCGATTGTACATATTAATGAGCATGGCAGTAAACACACGGATGCTATAATTACGGAGAACGAAGATACGGCAAGAAGCTTTATGCAAGGTGTGGATGCAGCAGGTGTTTATTGGAATGCAAGTACCAGATTTGCTGATGGTTTCAGATACGGATTTGGTGCCGAGGTTGGGGTAAGAAATCTTATCAAATCTACTCTTTCTTTTTTGAGATGTTGCTACTAACAGCCACGTTCTCTATTACTCGCCTCATCCCCAACAGGTTAGTACAAACAAGACACATGCGCGAGGACCTGTTGGTTTAGAGGGGCTTGTCATTTATAAATATCAGTTGTATGGAAATGGTCACATTGTTTCAGAATTTGGTGAAAGCGATCAGAAGAAAAAGTATCTGCATCAGAAGATTCAACACTAGAGGATGCAAGGCGATCAGCAACAGTTATATAACTTTCTTTAGTTTATTTTTATAAAGCAGCCAAAAAAGTAAATAGAATTAATGTGTCCTAGTTTTGAGAATTATTTTTGCAGCAGTGAACCACACTGTAACTAGATTTCCATTCAATAAATAAATTGGGACAAACGGTATGCTACTTTTGTCATTTCATATTTTGATGGTGTGTACTAGGACACGTAGTGTGTGTAAATACAGTAACTATACTTGTATAAGATAGAACGATAATATTAGTAAACTTTTCGTGCAAGTCCACTATATAGTCAAGCCCCAGGACATTATCGGAAAGGAAATGTTGTAGTTGTAGTATTATAGTAATATGCGTGCGTGTATAAATATGGTATCAAAATGTTTTATTTATGCTAACAATATGCGGTAGAATACCTAAGTAATTGAAAAACTTTTTGATTTTTCTGTCGATCTACCCAGCAGCCAAGGAAATACGCGGTAGTTGAGAGAGGAAATGACCTTACATCTCAAGAAGAATGACAAACACAGAATAATGTAATAATGATAATAAATGCTAAGATGATGATGCAATCAAAGTAACGAGAACTAAAACAATCAGAGAATAAGATGTGAGATGATGGAATATGATATATGAGATAATTCAATGATAGGATAATGCATGAAGAGTAATGGGATAATAAATGAGATATTAAATATTAGTATAAAAATACTGAATAATCGATATTAATATGAATAATATTAATGGATATATATTGTGTAATAATGTTGAAGAAGGTAATTCAAGCTCTTCAACGGCTCACTCTTGGTCCCAGATAATTGGTACTTCGTCCCTAAACATCGACATCGTCTGCATAGCCAATTGTTTAAATCTTCCTCTAACATTGTTTTCAGCTGTGTTCCATATATGCGAAGATAGGCCTGAAAATTCAGCGGAGACAATACTACGGTCTTGAGAAAACCGTTTATTGAAAAAGGTACGAAATATCAAAAAGTCTCCGATAGCGTTTGTTCTACCGTTTGTGCGTGGGTTGGATATATGTTCGCGGATGTCTTTGAGTGTGGGAACTGGAAATCTATCTAAAATCTCATTGTTAACAACATGACTTATTTCAACCATTTCAGTTGATGCGATCATGACGAGTCTGGTTCTGTATTGGGAATACTGGGAAGTTGCGACCATGTTTTCAAAAATTCGTTATTGTTAAAAATGTTCCTTTGCGTTCTTATCAACTTGTAAGATGTTTTGGATATTGTCAAGTCTTTGGATAAACATGAGGGGCAGGAAGATAAGTTGTTTATATATAGAGAAAATCTTGTCTGTAGGCAATTGAAGGATATAAATATAACCGTTTCATTGTTGACTATTAGTGGTTCTGGAAAAAGGGGAGTTTCATGCGACAACACAGTAATCACGGCCGATGCAATGACGAGTAGATACACACGCCCCATCAATCCGTAGTTTATCTTTATGTCATGTATGAATCTGTTTTTGTTATAGACCTGGTTTTTACGCATGCCAAGAATAGAAAAACCGAGAATAGTCTTACAATTTGTTCGATCACAATTATTACTGGATTATACGCAACATTGTATACAAAGACTTTTTCTGGAAAATTCTATAAATGATTGTTAAGACGCATAGAGTTCTTCAGCCATTCCTTCTACAAGTCTTTTTTAATATAAATTTGTAATTGTCATTACCGGAACACGATCTCCAACGTCTGTCTATAAATTTAAGGTATTGCATCGTTTGTTTGAATTTCACGCGCAGTTGTGTGACTTACTAAATATAGATTGTTTATTTGCATGACACCCGGTACTGTATGTGTTACAGAACTGTCATCATTGTCAATATAAATATTATTATGATGTCATTCTAGACTTATTAAAAATCCTCCTCATTCATGCATGTTGCTGTAACTTCTGCTTTCGTTTCATCAACCCGTATTATGCCTGGAAACAATCCCATTTACGGCTCAATCATCTTCCTCCATAAGTCCTGCCCGCAACAATCACTTCGCCTTGGGACTGGAAAGGATACTGCGTACGTATTTGTTCTGTGATCAGATGGTGATCGATCTGTGCATTAAGGCTATTTGGTATAAAGTTGTGGAAGATCAGATCACAGGACAACTTATTGGTGTAATCTAAACTCAAACATACATCAATAATGTTAATGAGTTTAATGAGCTGGGGCTCGAGGTCGATCCTGCGGATATCATCTTTCTGATAATCTTGCCACATTCAAAGGGTTAACCATTAGAGAAATAATAATGAAAGGATCACCAGAACGGGTATAACAACAACAACACATTCAAGTATTATGACATCATTATACACAACCGTACATGTTTACATTTCCCTTCACTGAATTGATCTGTGGGCCCTGTAAAACACCGTTCCAACGCTTTCCCCTTGAAAACAAATAGTTCACAAGTTGAGAATACTGCAAATTATAATAGAGGATAGCAACACAATTTGTATCGATTTATAAGAAAACTCCAAACACTAATATCATGATTCAATATAAACATGATATTACGATCAATCTTTTTAAGTGCCACTCGGTAGCCCTCTCACTTTATTTATCGCAATTACTACCATAATCAGTCCACTGTACAAGTACCTCAGCCTTTACTCTCTTTACTCAACCACCGCCACTCCTCTCCTCTGCGTTTCGACCTCCCTAACAGCGACAATGTTTACCCCAACAAATCCAATAAATACCATCAACGCACCCAGCCAATATGAACCAGCCATAACAATTCCTTTTACAAATACATCCCCAAAAATTGCCAACGGTATCGTCAGCGATAATCCTAACGTCACTACTAATGGTGATGTCATCAACATTGACAATAACCAAAAATAATCCGAGGCGAATGTCCCAAGTAACGCATTGACCATAATCATAATCCAAAAGTTCGCCGAAGATGGCAATGCAAACTCTTCTATACCAGCCGCATCAAGTAACAGAAATAATGGCCAGAGAATAAAGGTGTTGAATAACCCAACAAAGCCAAAGAATAGGGGCATATTTACTCGAGATTCGTCTTTTATGCGCAGTTTTAGTAGAACAGTATAACATCCATAGAAGAAAGCGCCAATTAATGCTAAGAAATCTCCAAGTATTCTGGAACGCGGCGGCGCGGCCTGCTCGAACGAGTTGTCGTTGTCGTCGTCATCATCTGATCTGTCTGTCGACGAGATTAGAATAATCCCGATTAAGCTATAATAGCAAAAAATGTCAAAGTGTAATGTGAAATTTAGTTAAAGTGGATAATGTAAATGACGAGAGTAACAAACAACAAACCAAAAGAGAAAGCAAATATAGAGACTAATGTCCCTTGTGATTACGTCTTCCGTTTACCTCGTTGAAACAGCAACCAGTTTGGAAATCGTAAATCTCTCAATGCCGACAAGTGACCCGATACAGAGTGTGAAAAAGCCTGTCGAAAAAAAAAACGATATTCGTAGTTGATAGGTATTAATTCATCAGGATCCTTCCTGACTCGTCAGCCCTGGTTGACTTTACCCCCCGAAATACAACTTGCAATTCTACCTGACATTGATGCCAATATCGTACTGCTTGCGACTGTTGTATATGCTAATGATGCATTGCTACTCCAGTTCGCTAATGAAGAACGGTAGAGTCAGAATTCTTGGCTTAGAATATTTGCGCAAATGAAGCAGAGCTACTCTTTTAGTTTTAACTTACCGGCAAACCACAGTGCACAGAATGTCAAACTAAGCTTGGCAGTCTAACGTACAATCATCATCCCCCAAACATAATCACGTTAATACCCCTTCAACCAAACATCCCAATACTTGACTCACATTCCAGCTTCACATTTGTTAAGGTATAACTACCTCTCTCGTACTCAAGTGGTTCTGCCGACTTTGTACAGACATTAATACGTCATGAGGATCGAGAAACGTTTGTCTCTCCGAAGACGTACTTGGTGATGCGTAAAGTAAATGGGTGTCGTCATCTATGGTGGGCTCTGATGAATAATTATGGACATGTGCTAAAGTATGCGAGTATGACTGCATGGAAAAGATAGGAGGTTAGTATTGGTGATATTTTCGAGTATTCGATCAAACTAATGCTTGCTTGAGAAAAAAAAAACACGTACACTTGAATCGTTGAGAGACTCTTGAGAGCTCCTCGAAGCTGTGTCGTATAAAGCATGATTGAACTCTATTATACTGGTGTGAACAATAGAGAATTGGTATTTGCGTTACATGCCACTAAACTTTTCGTGAACTTCCTGCAAATTACCTTTGCCTATCAGCAGGTCGTCGTCTGCAAATAAACAAAAAGATCAAATACAAAGAGAACGAGGCTGTGTTCATATACGTTATTGCAAATGGTTTATTGTAGTCTGAGAATATATCCTAATTCAATAGAAATAATCATATTAATAACATGTTGAGAGGAGAATACTGGGATCATGGTCCGTTAAAGTTGTTATTAGAAACTGCGCATACATTCATCAAAAATGAGGATCCAACCCATAGAACTACCACAGCTAGTAGTGCACCTATTCCTATAACGTAACGCCGTCGACTTGCTGATTTCATGCTTCGTTAAAGCAAATTCTTAAAAGCCTCGCAAGAATTTGTTCGATAAGCAAAGTGTGACTGTGTAACTAGGTACAGGGGTAAAAGCGCGATAATCACGTGAAGGGAATGAGTTAAACAATATTGGTTGGGAATTTTTACAAGCGATAATAAAATAAGAACGACGGCAATAATAATAACAGAATTATAATATTAATACAGCTTTTCCAAATGCACGCTTTTATTATGTTCTTTATCACTATCGGGAGCTATTAGTAATAATAATGGTAAGCAGCACACACATGTGACAATAAAATGTTGTCAGCATGTCACTCAACTTAAGTTATGTCACACCATGCATATGACATAACACGACGAATTTTTAGCCAATAGGAATAAATAGTAAGAATCGTCGAAAGATATGTTGATTGACCATCGAGTAACAAAGTGACCACTCTGCACAATGGCATATAAGGTATAGGAAAGCAAACATATGTTAAAATACTCCATTTGCTCATCTATTAACTATTACGCGTTACTTTGTAGGAAACTGAAAGCTCAATTCCCTTTACGGCTGACTCAATGAGTTCTAGCTTAACAACTAGCTATGCAGCCGACACCTTCTCCACAGCAAGTACTCCGAGTGCTCCTTCAATAACATCTTCAACTCAAGGTAATTTTCCGAAAATTATACTTCAATTAATGGAACAAGGTCTTATGTCAGCAGATGACCAAATAAAAGAATTGTTGACGGACTTGAAATATTCTCGGAATATTTACGCACTCAAGTATATTCTCGAACATAAGGGAGATTCTGTATCAGTGGATATGTTAGAGACTGCTTTGGAGAGTCTATGTTCTCAAGAGTTCAATAGTGTGCTTTCAGAAGAAACGACTATTAAATTGGAATGGAGATTACGTATTATTGTAACAATACTGGAGCAGATGTCTCAAAAAAAGTGTCAATTTACACGTCCTTTTGTTGATGGTATTAGACAAGCATCTTCCAAGTACAAGAATGCACATTCAAAGGTTATGCAGTATGGAGGAGAAACTTGGAAACCT